TGCACTTTCATACGAAATGAAGGTCCTCCTAACAATAGTCTTTTCTTCTCTTGGTTTTATTTATAATCACTTCTCTCTACTTTTAGCTCACATTTCTCTCTCGCATTAAGTCCAAAATCAAAAATTAGGCTCATCAACAAAACCAGACGTGTGTCCGACCTTACACAACCGGAGGGATGTTTATAACATGTATGTTGAAAGGGGGGATAGTGGTTATCGAAAGTTGATGGCCGAGAACAGATGTTATTTTTGCTGTCCTAATTTCTTAGGGCCATCATTGCGGGTTTCGTGCATAAGGAATCGCGAACAGGCACATAAGCAAATAGAGACAGATACATTCACAGGCATCGAAGTTGATATATGAATGTAACTAACCAAATCACTTTATACCTGATCAAAGAGGCCAGATAGGGAGTATGTATACTGCTTTTTAGGTATTTGTTGGTGCGTTTTCTTGACTCGTTAGCTTGAATTTGGTTGTGACGATGATTTCTTGCTCTGATGATGTTCATCATATGAAGGACGAAAACTTAGCACCTTTTCACCGGAATCGAAGGACGCTACCTCGGAAACAGCGTCACCATGAATGTTCCAGTAAGGCCAATCGACACCTGGTCAAGAGGAATCCGCCGTCGTCTACTTTGAATCTCTTCACCAAATACTTTCACTCGAAATGGAAATAAGCTCAACAATTATGAAACGAGGGATTCATCGAAACCCAACTTTTCTACGCATATATTTTTTATCGTTTCTCATTTATCCCTCAGGCTATGCTTTGCTTGTGGCTATTCTACACCGACGCTTTATGGCCCTTATTTTTAAGTTTTCTCCTTGGTTTTAAGTAATCATTTTTTCATTTCATATTACATCCACACGGCTTGTAAACATCACATAATTATATTGGCATATCTTACGAGTGAATTATTGTTCATTCAATTTACTTCATCCCAACTTAAATTTAGAACGAGAAATTATATTTAACATCCTATATTTACGACTGCCTATATTATTCAAATAATAATACATTGCGATCTCTACTTATTCTATTTTCCCTCTCAAATTTATACTATATCTTACCTTATTTCAAGTTTTACTTTTATTTTCGATACGATGTCGATTGTACTAATTTTATGCAGATCCCCAAAAATATAGTAAATATATTCGTGATGAGTTCCATTATCATTAAATCTTTAATGTGAACTGTATTCAACTAAAGTCACTTATTGTGATTGAGAGCTGAGATAATATTCCTACTTATGCTCTGATGTGTGGTCGGATTTTGAAAGAGTTCAGCCAGGACAAGAAATGGCGTAGGTCTGTTCAACAATCCTGCTTTGGATTCTTAAAAAAACTTTTTAGACGTTATTTATTGATGGTATTATTTAAGTAATATAAAATGTATTCACCCTATTTCGTGTAAGGTGATGAAGGATTGGTAGTAGAATTTTCCCACAATGATATGAGTTTTAGCTAACT